TCCCCCACATATCGCTGGACGCTCCGATATAATCCTCTCCAGTGGAATTGATCCCTGATCCGCTGATAAGTACGCCCCACTCCCTGATGTCCTCCTTCCAACGTAGTGTGATAGTGATGTAAACGTCCGATTGTAGCGTATCGGGAACGACCAATCTCAGCAACCGATCGCGATCATCCCCCGATCTCGGCGTGGGAGGGCAGTAGTAAAGAGCAGATCCTGTTTGTCAACCTCATAGTCGGCAGCGACCTTGCCATACGATCTTGCTTCTGCTTGCGTGAGGTCTGCGATCGAGCCATTTAGATACGTCTTCATGCCTGCAATTCAGCCTTCCTCCTCCTGAGCCCGCTTGATCCGATCAACCCGCATCTCCCGGATCAAGTCCTCTTGCATGACACCCGCAGGGGCTCTTACTCGGGAAGCTCGGGTGGTGACCGCAGCAACTCGCACCACTGGTTTTTCGGTCTTGGGAATTAGGATCTCGTCCAACCGGTTCAAGGTGACCAGATATTGGTATTCGGGACCTCCCTGGACCTCGATCCCGCCTTGGCGTTGCAAAGTGGCACTCGCTAGACTGTCGGCACTCCCATTCCAGTATCTCTTCACATGCACTAGTTCGTGATCGCTCCATTTCCTCAGGCGATCGAGGGCCTTCCGCTTCAATAACGTCAGCCCGAGTGCTTTGCAACCGATCTCGCCCGGTACTTGTCGGATCACTAAGTTGGAATCACCGCAGATCACTAGGCGCCTGCGATCTAGGTCCCCTAGCATGTCGAGTCCCAGGATCAGGCCGTTGTATTCTGCTTCGTTCACAGTGAGTCTCTCGAGATAGCCCGATCTAGCTTTGACCACCTCCCATCAGGGGAGACTCCACACGATTGCGCTGAACGCTTCACTTGGGCGGATCCGTCAAAACTGACCACCCATAATTCCTCTTCTCGATCTACGGTGGGTATCGGAGCTTGGATCCGGCGGTTAGGTTCTTTCCGGGGAGCGATTTTGGTCAGAGCGTCGTCCATCTTCGGCCTAGACGTGATCCTGGCAACGATCGCCCCCTGTATTTCGTCCTTGTCCTTCGTGCACTCCGTGATCTCGAGAGTCCACGGGGCTAGGAGAGCTGACCACTGTCCTAGGCGACCCTGTAATCATGTCGACCTGAACAGCCAGGCTAACGTGGAATGCCTTTGTTAGGACCCAGATCTTGCGTCCTACCAGTAAATTGTAGTAGAGATCCAAGATCCTCAGCAATGCCAACACCTCCTTTTCGGTCACATTGTAATTCAACTCGTTCGTCTTCAAGGTGTGGCTAGCGAACGCAACTGGATGGTAGATCCCGTCGTGTTCTTGTGTCCACGAAGCGGATATCGCCCAATCACTGCCATATACAATAACTACCGGCGTTCTCGTCTCGTCGAAGTGTCGGAGAATTGCAGTTGTCGCGATCTTAGTTTTCAGGGCGATCTTGGTTTTCAGGGCGATGAAGGCCTAATGCGCCCTGATCCACCTCTCATGCAGTGGTTCCGCCACCTGCAGCTCCGGTGAACGGTGATCTCGTGCAATCGGGTGGTTCTGGCCCATGATCTTCCTCAGATCCGGTCGTTTCTCCAGCACTGCGAACGCCACCTCGCGTAGATCATATAGCATCGACGCGTAGATAGCATAGTCTTTAATGAATCGGCTGTAGTAATTCAAACTACCCAGGAACGACTGCATGGATTGGAGTGACTCGGGGAATGGCAGATCAATCAGGAATTTCAGATCTTTTGGGTTCGCCTCTAGACCTCCGAACGACACTCGATGCCTCAGATATCCTACCTTATCGATGCCCCAGAAACTCTTCGCCACACTGATCGATAATTCCATCACAAGCTTCCAACAGATCTTCCACTCTTCGGCACATTTGATCCCACGATTCCGCTGCAATCATGATGTCGTCAATGTATGATCTCCGTCCCAACACTGACTCGCGATCAGGATCGTCCGCGATCCCTATCTGGAATACATCCGTTGTAGCCCCGGCGTCGCCTGATCGCGAGATCTTCAAAAATCCAAACAGCGCGTTGTCTACGAGGCGTTGATAAATCTGCGGGGCTTTCTTTAGGTCAAAAAGCATGCGACTCCATTCGAATAATCCAAACCGGGTGATAAATGCTGAGATCTCGCGAGCTCAATCCATCGTCGCCATGACCCAGAAGCCACTGGTCATATCCAGCGAGCAATACCATAATTCCTTGTCAATGTTCTCTACCAGATCGCTGATCAGGGGCATAGGGTAGACCATCAACCTCGTGAGGCTGTTTACCAGCTTGTAGTCGATGCATAACCTTATATCCACACCATTACGCTTGCGGACAATCACGATCTGTGAGGCCCATGGCGATGTCGAGGGTCGGATGATCTCGGCTGCTAGGAGGCCCTTGATCAGGCCTGCGAGTTTTTCGTTCTCGAAATCGCGTGGGCACTTTCCGGGTTCACAGTGCGATCAGTCTCGCGTTCCCGACATCGATGTCGCACTCGACGCCCCTGGCCGCCGGAGGTAGGGCGTTCCCTTTGTCGATCAGGAGGTGTTGCTTTCTCCAAATGAACTGCCGGAGCTTCTCGATCTCCTCGGGTGTGGCCGATTCGGAGTCTCCCACCTCCAGATCCTCGATACTGACCTTCGCGGTCGTCGAGATCGGAATTTCGGGGAGGACGGCTAGGTTTCCTTCTTCAGCTGAGAGATCACCACTCTCATGGTAATATATCTCATCATCGTCCTCGGCATCATGTGGGGTGGTCGCTGCTGATCCTTCCGCCAACCGATCTCGTAGTTCGACGCCCTCGGTCGGATGGATCGGGGGTTGTACATCGAATCCTTCGCCGGGATCAAGTTTGATCTGCGTTTGACAGTTCGGATTTCCCGTTTTCGGGTCGATATCCTTTGTGCCAGTCCTATTTCCGTCTTCGTCTTGATATCCTTGGTGTCTGTCCGATCGGTAGCCTGGTCCGGCATGCTCTTACTTATCCTGCCGCCCCCCGCTTCGCCGCTCAGATTCTGATCGGCATCGGGGGTAGTTATACCCAACTTGCTGGAATGAACTTCACGTGTATACGAGGTTTTCGACATGGGTGTACAAGTCGAAATCGTTGTTCGGAAGGGCTGTACAGTTCGCTGTGCTGCTATCGCCGTTAGAACTAGAAGTTGATCGGACAAAATAAAAAGATTGCGCGTTTCCCAATTGCTGGAGTCGACGATTACTAACTTCGTCGACCTTGATGAGTCGTTAACTATGGTAGCGCCACCTACTAAAGGTTCGCCAAACACTTGACTGGATCCCAGTTTGCTACATGCCCAACTACCAGTCGACTATTGTGGATACGTGCTGTCCTTCGACGGATCAGCTAAGACTGAGAAGAATGGTGGCTTCGGAAGCTGCTCATGGATACTTTGGAAATTGCCTGGCTGGCAAATAGTGATCGCTGCGAATGCTTACCTTGAAACTACTACAGTGAATATGGCTGAATACACCGGAATGAATAATGTGGTCCAAGCAGCCCTTGAATACGGTGCTGAAAACTTTGTCATAGTCGGCGATTCAAGGCTCGCAATCCAGCAATTACTAGGGTGATCGCATGTCGAAAGGA